TTTACAACAAAAAAGTTTAACGAACATATTACATTAAAAGAAAATCATTACCAAATTTGGTCGTGAGATTCAAAATAGTGTGACACGAAAATTATTGTTGCACTTCTGAGCATAACTTTCAAATTTAAAAATCTATGAAAAAGAAAATTTGAGAAAAAATTTTTTTTTAGATTAATAGACTCCCTTTTTAAAGCTGAATTGAATGGTGGCGAGTTTTTAAAAATCCAATGTGTGGATCATGTAATATTTCAAAAATTTTAACTTTTGAGTATAGATGATCCGCACTGTAATCTAAATTTGGAAATCTCCCTGACTGTATTTATTGCTCTGCATGAGCCAACTTGTGAAGAGCTTTATATTTATATTTATATGTTACTGTATTACTTCTTGGCAGATAAATATTTATGTAAAGTTTAATATTTGCATGAAAAATTATGTAATATTTACACTCAATGTAATAATTGCATAATTTTTGTATGGTTGGCTTGGTCTAAAGACCTCCTATTGCTGCGCCACATGCTCAAATTTCAAAAATTACAATTTCGTGATTCATTCAAAAATGCAATAAAATTTTTTAAAAAAGGTTATGCGTGATTTTGTTTAAAAAACTATTTTCCTTTACTGCCAAATTTAGATATGATGGTTGAATAAACATAGCGGGCTTTATCTGTGATTGGTTGATCCATAAAGAAATTGATTGGATAATTTTATATGCCAATCATTATTAAAACTTTTTAATATTGCTTTCAAGATAATAAAATAAATATATTCTTAGCAATATTTTTTATTTGTAATTGGTAATAAATAATTCAGCAAAAACATTAGGCGAAAACTCTTACTATAATTACTTTGTAATAAAGTACACCTATGGTTTGAGACAGCATGTTCTATAACATTGAAAACCAACGAATGTATCATTTACATCAGGAAATTAATTTAGCGTAAACTTGCATAAATCTTACGATGCCGACGTAATATTGTGTAAATCTTACAGTGCTGACGTAAGTTTTACACTTTTTTATTATTAAACTTACAATTGACACGTGTAAAATTTTTTTATATTTTCCGGATGATATCAGAGATAGCAGAATCAGATGATGAAGAGGAGACACTGGATGATCCTATGGAGATTGATTTTGTTCAAAGAAAGGAACCTGCCACAAGCCTTGCAACTATACCATGTAAAATCAAATGCTTAAAAATTCCAGCATTGGTACTCAATAGTGGGGCTGAGCCTCAATTACATCAGAAGATATTGTTAAATGTGTAAATTGGCCAATTGATAAATCAGAAAAATATGATCTTAGCAGTGTTGCAACAGTTCCAACAAAATCTATTGGCATTGCTCGTAATTTTCCAATAACATTCCCTCCAGGTTTTACTATACGTGAAGATTTTGTAGTTGTACATGTTCCTAAACCAACATTGATATTCCCAAACACACTTCTCAGAAATATAAATGCGCTATAGATTGGGGTAAAGATGAGTTGAAAATTCCTTTTAATGGAAAGGATCACATTATTCCGGTTACTATGCACAAGGTCAAGAATAAACTCGAAGTGAACTGTGCAACTGTAGCTCAAGATGATAAATCTTCAGTATCTGATCAAATTTCTCAAGAGGCAGAATGTGATGAGGATAAGAATGTACCATTAGAAAAATGGTGTGCTCCTGTGAACTTTAGCTTAGATTCTACAACATTAAAAAAAAATGCATGAATTGTGAGAGGTATGAAAAAGAAATGTATAATGCAACCAAAATTATCACCAATCTTAATGCTCTTATTTATTGTCACAAAGAACTACCCAGTAAAGAAAATAGAGGTTAGATAAATCGGTAAAGTCCAGCATCTATGACTCGTCAATTTTATATCCCGAATTTGATAAATTTTCCTTACCTTCTTCTACTGCATGTCTAATACAGGCTAGTGTATCCTCAGAATATAAGGGCTTTCCACCTGTTTTTTCTGTGGAGTCTTTGGCAATGACAGGTGGGTTGGATATTCGACTGGGCTTAGATCTCTTTATTTTTATTTGCTTATTTGGCTGTGCCACCTCAGCTGATACATTATCTAAAGATTGGGATTCTATATGTAGGACATTCATGGTAGAATTTGGTACATTAGTATTTCGATTAGAGTCGTCGTCATAGAAGTGAGGTATAGGCTGATCCCAAAGAACTCTATTAGATTCTTCTCCTCTCCAAATCTGATAAATACATTTTGTTGATGTTTTATACTTATCCATCAACTCATTTAAAATTTTATATCTTGGTTTTATATCATGACATTGCATAATATATGAATAATCTTCGGATGTGAACAGAGGTGCATCAGATCGTATACATACTCTAAGCATAGTTATAAATGTAAATACTATTTTTTTTTCTTTATGGGTACAAGATATTTATACACTCACTGGACAAAAATATATGAACATTTGTCAATCATCAAAAATAATCGAGTGACTTTGACGTAATAAAACTAAATATTTTATTAACCTAATTGATCCTATTTATTAAGTAGAAATCCTTTTTCATATCAAATTCTATAACATACTGAAGTTTCATTGCATATAAATAAA